ACTGCTGGTAGATGATTAACAGCCTATCCTGCTTTCTGCTTTAAGCAGCTATTCCTGGTGGAGGGTATTAACTGCAGGGCGTAGGGAATGTTTACATACAGTGTAAAAAAATTGGGATTCTATACCGATTGTCCAACGTTGGCCAAAAATATGTCAAGCTACCCTTGCTAGAGCTAAATTGGCTGTCCATGCAAGGACAGGTCAATTTGGGGGGACTCTAATCTGAAAGAGGCCACTTTATGGACTAGGTGTGAAGATCATGAACTGGGGAAAATACAAATAAAATCCAACAAAGGGCACAAACGGGGGATGAGGGAGGGGAACCGAATGAAATGAAAGCCCACTTTGGTCAGTGACAGTTACTCCGGTGCCCCAGACAGAGTCTCTATTATGCCACGCCCACCAACTGCCATTTTCCTCCAAAAATCCTCAAATTTACCCTTAAAATGTGAAAAATTGTGCAAAAATCACCCTGCTCCCTTGCAGAACGTCCTTTGCAGCTAGCAAGTGAAATATGAGAGAACTGGAGCCAAGTGTGTGTATCTGAGATGAAAATACTGAGCAGGTTTCTGGGCATCTGCTTTGTTTGTGGAAAGGTGGATAAAATGTTCAAAATGTCCCAAAATCAAGGAGTGGGGAAGGCCGCCCCACCAAATCTTATTCCCCAAGACCCTCTGCTACATGGGGATGTGCTGGGTTTCACAAAAAGATAGCCCATTTTGTTAAGCCTTTGAATATTCAAATTGAAAGTATCGCGCAATCATTGATTGTCAAATCATTGGTTTCTAGAGGTTTTAAATACTTGGCATTAGGGGAGAAAAACTCAAACTTATATCTGTAGGTATAAAACATTAATATTGTTGGTCTCCACCTGGAATTTTCACAGTGGTCTTAGGTATTCTTTTTTTAAATTTTAAAATTATTGTTTTTTTGTTCCCTTTCCCCCCAGCATCTAGGAGCCCAGGTGATTGATTCTTCTGCTGCAACATCAGCTGTTATAAAAGTTGCTTCTGCTTTCAGGTCAGAATGTCCGGTAAGTTCAGTTTAAACCTTTTCTTCATGAATTTGGGGGATGTTTAAATTATCCTCCATTTTTGGTCATTTTACCTTCAAAATGGGGAGGGGGGGAGAGAAAGAAAAAGTTAGTATTTGTATAATGCAAAGTGCAAGCAAATCAGTGTTTTTAAGTGGATAGAAGGGAAACTGATCATATGCAATACACATTATATGTAGAATAATACACACACCCAACGCAAGATACAGGGAAAAAGCAAACGTGATTTGTGCACAGGAATGCAGGGGCTCTAAATAACCATTGTTAAAGTATTTCAGCCTTTTAAAAAATGCTGCTAATCCCTAACGTGCTTTGCAAATTCGGTGCTTTTAGCCAGTGCTCCGGGGAGCGCTCGCGCTCAGGGGCTGCAGATTTCAGGGTTAACCTGCCCAATCGCGGGTGCAATTTAAGACTTCAGGCAACGTAACTCGGCGCTCCCAGGTGATTAGTTGTGGATTTTAATATTCAGGGACGATCTGACCCGAGTGGGACTCGGCAGGCCCAGGACTCCCCTGAGCCAGCCCCCGGGGGAGATGCTGCACAGGCAGGGAGAGATCGCCCCTTTAGGGCTGTTGAAAAGGGGAAACGCGCCTCCTACACTAGATCCCTAATTGGGGATCCCCCCAGAAGTGACCTGGTGCCGCGTCCGCTGTGACCAGAAGTGGCGCTGCCGGGCAGCAAACTCCCCGCGGGCCATGAGGGTGTCTGGCGGGGCGGATTCCCCCCCAGCTCCAGCCCCCTCCCCCGCGCAGTCCCCAAGCCCCCTCCCCAGATATCTGCGCCGAGCTCACACTGGTTCTGCGCCCGCCCCGGAGAGGCCAGCAGCTGCGTTATGGGGGGGGGGGGGCAAACCTGGGGGAGGGGCACCTGGGGAAACAGCCTAAAAATCAACGGGGGATAATCCTGGGGATATGGGGGGCAGCCCGGCCCCGGGGGGTCCCAGACTGAGGAGGGGAGAGGGGCAGCCCCTGTGTTCACTTCCGGCAGGTGTGGGGCCGGGCTCCCGCGCCAGGCTGCGGGGGAATGAGGGGAGCCGGGGTCCGTGCAGCACAGGGCGGTGGGGCAGCCAGGCCGGGAATGCTGCGGGGGGCGCACGGGATACGGAGCTGCGGAGGGGCCCCCTCCCGGCCCGGGTGGTGGTGGGCGCAGGGCGCCCGGCGCCCCGGCGCAAAACACGCGGAACCGGGCAGCCCGGGGGTGCGCAATGGGGCGGGGAGCCCGCGGGTGCGGGGCCTGCCCCCGTCCCCGATCAGAGCTACTCACAGAGCCGGGCTTTCCCGGCCAAGGTGTGTGTGGTGGGGGGGGATCCCAGACCCCGAGCGGGGACCCGCCGCCTCCGGAAGGTGCCCGGCTGCGCCGCAGCGGCCTCCAGCTCCGCGCCGCGCCCAGGAGTGGGGCTGGCCGGGGGCCGCAGGCAGCTGCGCACGGAGCCCTGCGCATCCCAGTCCCGGCGCGCCCCTCTGCAGCTCCCCGCTGGGCTCGAGCTCCCACCCCGGGGCGCCGTGCGCGGCCACTTGTCGCCCCCCATCTCCCCGGGGCGCCCTGCCTGCGGGGATCCTTGCGCACCTCACCCCGGCCCCCGGCCTGGGGGAACTTGGGGTCCTTGGGCGACCTCCTGAGCCCGGCCGGGGTGCAGCCACGGGACCCGGCTAGCTTGCCGGAGGTGACCGAGCCAGCCCTTCGGCGTTGGGTGCCTGCAAAGCAGGCCCGTGGGAATCCCCGTCCCCTGGCTCCCACGCTGTCACCTGCCTGCTCAGCCTGGCTTGAGGCTCGGACAGGCTCTGCCCCCTCCAGGCACATGGATGCTGAGGTTTGCCAGGAAGGTTAAGTGAAGCAGGTGCAGACCGCAGCAGTATGGAGTGAGGGGTCAGTCCCAGGCTGCTGACCTGGGGACCTGTCACATCTCCACTTAGCCCAAGCAGGACTCTGCCTCTCTGTTGGCCTGACCCAAAGCCTGCTGAAGTGGGTTTTGGCCCCAGGCCATGTCCCTGGTGCTCCTTGCCACCGGTCGATGTGAATAGTCCCTATCTTTTTAGTTAGTGGAAGACCCTGCTCCAGAAAACCTTTGTGCAGGTGGATAATTGTACTGTCGATGCTGGGAAGATGCAACATCCAAAAACATGGTCACTATCATGATGTTAAATATGTTTTTGACTTTAGTGTTGGCAAGGCCAGTCCTGTTCGCTGGTTGTCTGGGAGTAACCATGACCAGCTAACATGTTAAAGAGGGCAGGCCCCCAACTCTCCTAGCTGCCGTCTTGTTTAGCACATTTCCTAAGATGATACATTTTCCCAGTGTAGATAAGGCTAAGGAGACCGTTTGCATGCATAAATCAAAGCAGGTTTGCTGGATCAGGGCCTAAAATGTCAGCCCTCCTAACAGGAGAGGTTTGGAGCAGAGGGTGCCTGTTAAATGTTTCTCTCCCTCAGATTCAAGGAAACATCCTTTGCAGTTTTCAAAAATAAAATGGAACGAGTGGGATAAATAATCCCCAGAGAGCTGAGTTTGCAGCTCAATAGAACCCCTTCCTCTGGATTCCACACGGATTGGCCTGTAATGAGGGGCAAGGACAGTTAACAGCAGGCACCGCATTAAAGACAATGTGACTGTGTATGGCAGGCTGTCATTAAACAGGCTCGTGGCACTGAGCAGAGACACTGTCTGCACTAGGATAGGGAGGGGCTCCACTGTCAATCTAGCACCCCTGGCAGAGCAGGAGTGAAAGGTGGCAAGTGCCAGTGGTGGATCAACGTATACACTCTGCCTATGTCACAGCAAAGGAGAGGCTGAAAGTTGCTGTTAGGGGATCAAACAGGCACTAGATGGGTATGTTATAAATACCTGTGCATAGCTAGGTAATTGCTCCCCGGGGGACTGTTCTATTACTCCTCCAAGCAAGGACCAGGTAACATTGCAGGGTCTCCAAAGGCAGAATATTAGCTGTGAACCTGATCCTGCAGGCCCTTACTCATAAGTATTCCCATTGCAGACAATAGGAGTAGGAGCTGGATCCTGCAATCAGATCTGTGTGCAGAGCTTCCGTGCCAGGTCTGATAGCAGGACTGGGGCCACGTGAATAACCATTTGCAAGATTCAATCCCAGGTTGACAAATGTGTCTGTCTGTTTTATTGAGCCTCTGCAGGATCATTTCAGAGAGAAATATACTGAGTGCAAAATGAAGCAATTCTAAAAACTGAACTAAACTGCAATGGGTGTTAAATATTTCTTCCAGCAATAGTGTCAGGGGTGGTTTCTTGTCAATAGGCAAATTCTTAACTACTCCAAATACAAAGTTCTGACTAAGCTAGTGAGTGGCAATTGTTTTTGCTCATTGATGGAGGCCCACATGCACGTCTGAAACAAACTGGAGTTGTAGAGAATGACTCCTCTCATTAAAGAGAGAAAGAAAACTGGGTCTCACAGAGAGTGATTGTTTAGTCCTATAAAAGAATAATCACCCACATATTTGCATTGTTTTTATTCCTGTTCTTAACATAGAGGATGAACGCAGTGCCCATGTCTGTTTCCTGGACTGAAATCTTCAGGATATTGTAGAGATTCAGATTAATTTGACAGTATGGTCCAGCAGACAAGGCTGGGAATTAGAGTACCTGGGGTCTATTTTTGGTTCTGCTGCTGACTTGCTATGTGATTTTATGCAAGTTGCTTAGGCCCTGATCCTGCAAACACCTACATATGTGCTTAACTTTGATGGAAATCAGTGGGACTATTCACAATATTAAAAGTGAAGCATGTGTGTAAGTGTTTGCAAGATTGGGGTCTTAATATCTCGCTGCCTTAGTCTTCCCATCAGTAAAGTGGAGATAATTGTACTTGTCTTCCTCTCTAAAGTGTTCTCTGAATTTCAGGTGAAGAGCTAAGTGATATTTATTTCTCCAGCCTTTGTTACTAAGAAAAAAGAAACTCTTAAGGGAGAAGAAAACTTGGTCACAATTATATTTATTATATATTAAGGGTACATTTGCAAATAGTCTACAAAGTGTTAGTAAATGTTACAAGCATATTACAATCATGAAATGGGTATAAGTCATGGTTACAAGGGACCTATGGCATTCTGTAATAACTGACTAATCATTTATTAAACATCTATTCATAAACTCTTTACAAACTCTTTGTAAATATACCCTTTATATAAAGTGTGACTGAGAACACACTGAATTTACTTTTTAATATTTTAAATATCACCACTCTAAAGTGCCTGCTTTCCTGTTCTCATCCATGCAATCTTATTTTTAACTCACTCTTTCAGGAAAATCCAAGGTGTATCAAGGTGTTCGAGTAAAGATCACTGTGAAAGAGTTATTACAGCAGAGGAGAGCACGACAAGCAGCAACTGATGCCACTGTAAGGACAAAATACTAGCTTCTTCCATGTTGTAATTTAAGAATAAGAAACTATTTCTCTTAATCTCTCTTCCATCGATTTAATGAACTCAGAGCCATGGGAGCAGACGCTGCTGATGCAGGCAAAACTGAGAGCTTGTCTTCAAGGGGAAATTGATCAATTTAGCTATTCCAGAATAACTCCCCCAAGTGGACGGTCTATTCTGGAATAAAAATTACTTTGTTCCGGACTAGTTACTCTGCTCACTTTTATTCCAGAAGACAGTTCCCCTGTCCCCACAAGAGAGTTATTCTGGAATAGCTCAATTATACTGGAATAATGCTGCTGGTCAGTTTCCTCTATGTAGACAAGGCTTGACAGATAGGCCTGCTCCAAATCTCTGTGCAGCAGCGGCAGGGGAAAATGTATGTTCTATCTGACTCAAACAAAACCCCTGTTGCCTGCTTTGAGGACCCTCCCATGTAAAGCTCTGTGTTGTACTAAGGCTCCCAACGTGTTCTCCCCTCCAAGAGGAAGCTCTCAGAGCCCAAAAGAACGTCATTCCTCCCCGCAAATAACCCCCTCAGAGGCCTTCCATTGTTCAGTGGCTCCTTCAGTCATCAGTCAGGGGATAAAGGCACCAGCTCTGCACAGCTTCCAGCTTCTGCTGGCCCCTGGGGAGGGTGCACAACCAAATCCTCCCAGGGCTGAATGTGCTGGCATCATACTGCTCCTAACCCCTGCTGGCCTAGGAAGGAGGGTCTTAGCTTGGATCCCCAAGGGCTAGAAGCTAGCTCCAAAACCAGTTGAAATCAATGCGAGTCTTTCCATTGACTTCAATGGACTTTGGATCAGGTCTCAAAAGCAGTGGTTCCACAGAACTCTCAGGCAGTGGTGGCCTAAGAGCGAAAGGCCGAGCTCAGCTCTCGCCAGGTGTGCTGGATCCATGCCAAGGAATGAGCTCTGATCCCCAGCGTATTGTTCTGCCACTGCAGCAGCTATTGTCCTGTGCAGAGGGAATTTTCTCCATGAAATGAATTTTCCCAGGGGGGCAAAACTCAAGAGTTTAATTTTCTTTCTTGATATGGAAACTTAAGAATGAAGAAGCTGCCCTGTCAGCAAGAATCTGTAGCCTCTCATTAGAATCAGCCACTGTACCAGAGAGCTGGAGGGGAGCAAATTTGTTACCACTCTTTAAAAAAGGCATGAGGGGTGATCCTGGCAATTAGCAGAGCAGTGCGCCTTACTTCATTATCAAGTGAAAATTAAATGATAATTAAATCTGAAATTACAAAACACGACACAGACACACCAGCCTGGCTTCTGTGAAGGAATATCACAGCTCTGCAATCTGTTGTAATTCTGAACGTGTTAGCAAAACTGTGCCTGCAGGAGATCATGATGTTCATATAATCCTTTCACAAAGTGCCTCACGAGAGATTAGTCACCCTGGGGTGAAAGGCAAAGTGCTGTCAGGGGTTAGAAACTGGCCAGTAGACATGAACAGGGAAAAACGGTCAATTTTCAACATGACCAAAGGTTAACATTGAGTGTCCAATGTTCTGTACCAGGACTGATGTTTATCGATGATCTAGACAAGGGGTGACCAGTGTGGTAGCCAAATTTGTAACTGACATAAAATTAGTTAGGTTATTGAACACTGGAGGTTACAGTGAGGAATTTCACAGGGACCTAGCCAAGCTTGGTGAATGAGCAACAGGCTGGCAGCTGAAGTTCAGTGTTGCCTGATACAGGGTAGTTTCTGGTGCCCTGTTTTAATGTGCATGCATCCCCTACCTTTGTTGTCTCAAGGGGATAATTTTCTCCTTTAACATATTTCTTTTCAGTTTGTTAAGGCTGGTAACAATGGACATGTCGATTCTTATCTCTTAACCTGTACTAAAAAAACCTCTAGAAGGTGTTTGAAACGTTGGGATTTTTATAATGGGTAATGCAACTTTGTTAATGTTAAAAAAAACCAAAGAAAAACTCAGAAGTGTATTTCCTTTTGTCTTGAAAGAAAGTTCGAAAGTGAGTATGAGCAAAGAGCCATTTAAATAGGGCTTGATCCCACTCCCATTTAAATAAATGAAAACACGTTACTGGTGCAGGATCAGGCCCTTAATGCAGGACGCTCTGGCTGCAATCCAGTAAAGCACTTAGGCATGTGAATAGGCCCACAGTGTGCTTGAAGTTATGCATATGCTTAAGTGCTTTGTGGAATCAGGGCCTTTAATGCATTTCAGTACAACCAGGCCAAAACTATAACTATTTGGAGAGAAGGAAAGGGGTCAAGGAGACCTATATATTGATGCAGACTTGTCACACACAGAACACTCCCCTTCTCTTGTAAGTGAGCCTTCTAGCTCAGGCGCCCTGTGTTTTTGCATAAAGAGGTTGGTAAATCATTACTGCTTCCTGGTTCATGACATTACAGTCTGGATGGTTTTCAGATTTAATCTCCCACCTCCTGCTCTCTGCAGCGGTTGATTGCACAAGAAGCTGAGCAGACTGCAACCTGCAACCACAAATAAAGAGGCTTGGTGAATGGAGCCCTCTAGCACTGAAATGCTGCAGTATACTCCTCTCTTAAGTGTAAAGTCACCCCTTCCTTCTTCCTTTATACAATGGCTAAGTACTTACATACGCTATAAATGTTCCAGATGGATGTTAAGAGGCTGGACTGAACTAGTCTTAATTTGCTATTCACTTGATGTTTACACTATGATTGTTCCATCCACTAAGGAGACTCAAAGCCGGTGGTGCAGGAGATTAGCTTTGTGCTTAACATAATATATACTGGTTATTATTTATTTGCATCATGGAGGCCCAGGAATCAGTGTCCAATTGTGTTAGGTGCTGTACACACATGTAATGCCAAGCTAGACTAAAGCATTCTGCAGGACAGAACCTGCAAGTTAACTAAACGCACTCTACTGTTAGTGGGAAGATTACAGAGGCTACATATTGTGTATGTATAGACAAAACAGAGAATATCAACCTTGCCAACTCTTCCAGAACTGCCAGGATTCAAATAATGTTTTTTTTTCCTCCCATAGAGAATAATTACAGTTTAAGTGTTAAATAACTGAGCAAGTGTTAGGAAGTTCTTGATAGGGAAACCAGCCACGCTCTAACTCAGGAACATTTTGAATGAAAGAAATGAAGCTCTGGTCAGCATAAGTTAAAACCATCTGATCAGAAGAAGCCCCAGTCTGAACAGCTAGAGTGAAGCCCCATTGAAGAGGATGGCAAACCTCACTTTGTTTTCAGTGCAGCCAGGATTTCACCCATAATGTCTGATGTGATTTTCTAATAGGCTTATTGATTTGTAAGTTTCAGTTCACAAATCCTCAGGGAAAACAACATCATCAGTTTTCTTATAAGTGTTGCAGTATTAGAGCAATCACACCTGTAGATTGCAAAGTGAAGTGTGCAATAGAACAATTCAGTCTGGTGCGCATGTGTGGTGCTACACAGGGTAAGCCACACTTGATTTTTTTAGTTGTGTTTTAAACGCGTTAGCGAACACAGTTGTAAATTGTTCCTACTCCTAGAGATTTTTTGTGTCATGTCCACACTAGGATTTACAATCCTGCTAATTAACAAATGTTAAAACATGACTAAAAATTCAAGTCTAGACACACCTATGGTGAATTAACAGTAATGGAACAATGGAATGGAATGCACATCAGAGGAGCTACATATTTAATACTAGAGCAGTTCAGTGTAATGCACATCTATTGTTATCTGGGTGGCACTCTGGAACAAAACAATGTTACACAGATTGAGAGTGCTCCATAAATAACAGCACTGAATGTAATACAGACACAGGTAATAAAAACAACAATCACTAATGTATGCATAAGTAAGTTTGAAAAGTAATTGTGACTCACCTCAATGTTCAGGAAAAAGGTCTGTGAGCTTTCAAAGCAGAAACACTTGCATTTGCTATTTTCCTTCTGTTCTGTTTTGTCAGGTTTCCCGAGGCAGCAGTAGTGTCCAGTTTCCAGAATCTGTTTCTTCTCCCTGCACAGGTTGGTACAAAGAGCATCCCCCTTCTCCCCTCCCCCCACCTATTCCTCCAGTCCAAGTCTTTTTAGCCCTCGATGCATGGCTTGAGGCAGGCACTACCATTTAATTAGAACTCCAACCAATCAGAATCTGAAAAGGGCTCACTAAATGCAGATGAGGATGCAGTAAGACAAGCAGGGTACATTTTGCCCTCACTCCAGCAGAAATTTTGTCTTCATATCCACGTAGTTTGCCTTTTCTACTGAGGATCAAGGCTCCAATTAATCGGTAACATTTATTACCAACAGAATAACACTGCCGTGGTGCCTTTATCAAGATTTCTATCTCTTGGTACTGCCTTTATCTGATTGTCAGATGGGACCAGAACGTCTTAAAGCATTACTTGTCTTTGCTGATCATTTAGCTTCCAGCAGAGTCAGTTTCTCTATTTCCCCCCTCTTCCTGTAGAGTTCAGAAGGGGTGTTAGTCTTTTCAACAGAGCTGCATAAACAGCTCCTTCCTGGTTGACACCAATATCCAGGAATTGGGAGAAAAAAATATTAGTTTGGACTTTTCAGATCTTTTATTCTCTAGATGTTGGTAGCTAAGAGATCCAGAAAGTTTCCCCTTTCATTTGTAAATGTGTGCATGTATACATTGCGTGGACAAGGAAATGCTTAAATAATGAATATTTGGGGTTTAAATTTGCTTATGTTAATATAGAAACTTGAGACGCACATAACCTTTTTCAGGCTGATAAATCTTTCTTTCTTTTGGGTGCATGTTTTTTGCCCCACTGTCCAGTTAAACACTTTGCTCCCAGTCCTGCAAACACTTACGCATGAGAGTAATGTTACACATGCTAGCAATCCCATTGAGATCAACAGGACTACCTGCATGGGTAAGTGTTTGCAAGATCAGGGCTTCGTTATTAACTGTGTTTGCGAACAGATGAATTTAGCATGAAATGCAGTCAAGTCTAGAGGGGCAAATTCTTATTTACACCGCTCTGGTAACGGATGACCAGGAACAGAGTACTGTAGTGCAAAGAGGCCTTGGTGTAAGTGAAAATCTGGCCCTTGAGCCTTTTCGACTCCTGCCCTCTTCCAAATGACACCAATTGAACCTAGCTCTGTCTCATCTACATACTTGCTACATTTTTCAGAAGTAATGTAGGGACAGCTCTGGTCTCTCTGCTGAGTATTTTGCCTCTGTCCTTGCTTATGAAGACGAGAAGCTATTTTTTGTTCTAATGGAGACGTGCATCCCTGGAACATGGAGTTTAGCAGAGGCTAAAGGCAAAACCCAGCTGTTAAAATAGCAGCAACACACCCCTGCATTACATGCTCTCAGGATTGCTTTGAATTTACTTTCAGAGTCAGGCTGGGCGTTTCAAACG